ATAATTATAAGCCACATACAGTATGCACTTTTTAAGGGTGTTTACCAAAAAATATTAATTAAGCTGATAAAAAAATTATTAAAATTAGTTTACACTTACACTAACACTTTAATAAGTGAGGAGTGAGGACTATCTCAAACAGGGCGTTAATGGTTGTTTTTAATTCTATCATCTAATGAGAACTTTAAAGGAGGATTGCATACCAATAAACATGGTGGCAAGCATGTTTGGAAAGAGGGAAAATTTAGATAGCACTGGTTTTCCAACGTAAGAAAACAACTCCAACACCACGTATTTCATTCTCTCTCTCTCTCTCTCTAATGAGAGATTCTGAGATCATTCATCACTTCCATGAACAAAAAGACAGTGTTTGTGTATAGAAATCGTCATTCCAACATCCAAGTGGGGCTAAAATGTGTGTTTATGCACCGGCCAAAAATAAATTTAAATGAAAAAGAAAAAGAAAATAACATTCAATTAGGTAAATGTATCTGTGCAAGCCAATCCACCAAGAAAAGGAGGAAACAAAGAGCAAAAAATAATAATTATTAGAAGAAAGTAGACAATGAGGAAGAAAAGATATGACAAGATGATATAAAATAAGGGATACAAGTTTGTTCAATTGAATATAAATTAGATGAGCAAATTATAAGACAAGAAGATATAAAATAAGGAAGAAAAGTATGGACAAGTTGAAGACTCCACTCAATAAGAAAAATGTTTCGAGCTATAATTTTTAAGCTTTAAAGCCAACTCTACTGAGTTGGTTGTGGGTTCCATTTACTATGATGTGATATTTTGATCTCGGTTTATTTATTTTATTTTATTTTATTTTTTTCTTGTCATGTCATTAGTGTTCCATTACAGCACTCAAATTAGTGCTCTGAGTTATTGTTGCACTCAATAAATACTAAATTAAAGAATTTTAAAAAAAGAAAGAAAGAAAAGGTTTGTACTATTTTCTAACAAGTAATGTTAGAAACACAGGGTGACAAAAAGTGCAATAGAAGCTGAGATTATATCTAAAAAAAATATTTGGGAGTTTTAAACTATGAGCTTTAAAAGAGCTCTAGAGGGTGAGTCCCACCTATTGATGTGATGTTTTGGCCTTAATTTCTTCTTCTCATTATTATTATTATTATTTTTTTTTGAATTTTCACCTCATTAATGCTCAATTAGAGCTTAATGATTATGGAGGATTCACATTGAGTGCTCGTTTGGGAAGATAGATTTGGGACTTTTTTGGTTAAAATGGTCACAAAAAATAAAATAATATTTTTCGTTTAATAAGACAAAATATAACATCTAACTTATAATCATTATATTTATTTTCTTACAAAAATCAAAAAAGTTAAAAATTCTATCACAAACAAAACTTTTTAGCCTGAAACTAAAATAATTAAAAATTCAAAAAGTCAACTCACTTTTCAAATGAACCTGAGAATAAATCTCAATCAAATATAACATTTAATGTGACACATTATGTGTTTTTTCAGCGCATTGTTGTTGTGAGAGGCTTGTAGGGCTTACGGGGTGCCCCACAAATGCCATGGATTCATAAACATTACACAACGATTAGTATTTTGGAGAGAAATCTGACTCTAAAGATATACAGGTTCTTAAGGGTGTAATTTTGACTGGGCCTGGCCCAGCCCGACCCATTCGGGCTCGAGCCGGCCCGGCCCACGGGCCAGAAAACTAGGCCCAAGGGTATTCGGGCTTTGGGCGGGACTAGTGGGCCGGGCCCATGGGCTTGGGTCTGGGATCGGGCTTTGGGCCGGTTTGGGCGGGCTTAAACAAATTTTTTAATTTTTTCACCAAAATTTTATTATTTTCTATTAAAAAAACAATGGGCATCTGGTGGCCCGGACGGGCCTTGAACGGGTCCATGGGCCGGTCTGGGCTTCAAAACGATAGCCCAGGCCTTGGCCCAAGGCATCGGGCTGGGCTTGGGCCTTAACGAGCTGGGCCCACCTCGGACCGCCCGCAGGCCACGGGCCAAAATTACACCCCTATAAATTCTATGCAATTTTTTATTTATGAATACGACTTGCACAGTTTTCCTAGAGATAAGATAAAGTTTAATAGCAATGACAACATACAACAATAGCCCCTATGATATATATATATATATATGAATTATGGTAGGAATTTTAAATAATTTATTAAATTTTTTAAAAAACCTTTCACATCGGTGTGGAACTCACACACATGTGATTATTTTGTATAAGACCTATACACATGTGAGAAATTTGATAAAATATTTGATAAATTATTTTAAGTTCACAACATTTTTCAATATATATTACTTTTGAAGAGAAATATGAGCACTTTCATGACGCATGTGTTTGAGGCCATGACCAAAATTTTCTGTTAAATCAATTAAACAATCATCACTTAATCCCAAACAAATCATTCAAAATGTTATACTTCCATTATATATATAGATGATGAGGCTTTTGATTTCTTTTTATACATTATCTTCATCATCAATTGCTTGACAAAAATACATTTGGATCGCACTAAAATAAAAGTTTGTTTAAACACCATCGTGCATCGATCTATTCCTAAGGAGAATATAATGCTTACATAAAAATATATTAGAAGGTATGCTTAATCACATGAGTGTAATAGCTACAAAGGACTTGTAGATGTGTTTGAATATGACAATGAAAAGGGTAATTTTGAAATAAAAAAAATTAGAACAAAAAAGATTCATACAATTATATAGATGCATTTTTTTAAGAAAAATAAAAATTAGCAACCAATAATTTCAGGAAAACAAAATAGGAAATATTCCAATTAAAAAAATAAAAACAAAAAATTATCTTCCAGTTGCTGGTAGAGCATCTTCAATGGTAACATTTTGTGATTGTTAGTGTCAGTAAATGAGCAGATAGAAAACAACTTTTTTGTTTTTGTTCCAATGGTTTTGCTAGAGGTGTTGCTAGTTAGTGCAGATGCTCAAATTTGCTAAACAATTTGATATCTGTGGCGGTGCTCTTAATTAGGACGGTGTAAAATATTGTTTAACTTGTTAAAATTATATTGATTTGCATCAATTTATATCGTTTTATCACTTAATCACGATTTCAATTTTAAAATTTATAATCTGTTTTTGAAATCGTTTCGCTTCGCTATAGTTAATACATATATGTTCTTTAACTTATAATGAAATATCAATATAAAAATGATTGTGAGAGAGTTTTAATTTGTGAAATTTATTACAAATTAATAATTATATATATGAAAAATATTATGTAAATTAATTTGTATTGTATATATAAAAAATATTATGCAAATTAATATTATGTATTATACAAAGATTTAATAATTGATTAAAATATTTTTCAATTCATCAATCCATTTAAAATTACTTAAATCATAATTTTCTAATCTCTCAATCCATTAATCTATCATTTAATTTATAATTTCAATCTTTTGGAATGGCACTGCGCACGCCTCTACTCGTAAGTCACAGGCGGTTGGTGAGAGAGTAAAGAGGGAAGGAGAGGACCAATGTCTGCCATTTTGGCCGAGGAGACAAAAGAAAAGGCAGAAAAGAAACAAATGTGAGTAACAAATAAATGTTAGTGGTGGGCCTAAAAATTTATTTAATATTTTTTTTTTATCATTTTTATACACATCTTTTATATGTATATATATCATTTAACACAAATTTTAATTACATCATTAAAATATATACTTATTAAGAAACACTTGATACACATAAATAAATTTTAATTTTTACACTTTTTATCCTATAACAAACATCCTTAACTTCACCATTGGAGATGCTATTAAGCAACTAAAAGATACAATCAAATCAATATATCAATATCTCTTTCAATCAATTTTAGGATGAAGAGTATTTTGAGAATAAATTAAGTATGAAAACAGAAAAAATATTTACATACTAGTAAATCTTTATAAATATATACTTATTAACAAACACTTGATACACATAAATAAATTTTAATTTTTACACTTTTTATCCTATAACAAACGTCCTTAACTTCACCATTGGAGATGCTATTAAGCAACTAAAAGATACAATCAAATCAATATATCAATATCTCTTTCAATCAATTTTAGGATGAAGAGTATTTTGAGAATAAATTAAGTATGAAAACAGAAAAAATATTTACATACTAGTAAATCTTTATAAAATTTATCATTCATTTGAATTTTATTTATTTATTTATTTATTTTGAAGATGGAGGTAGACTGAGTGGTAATTTTCCCATAAATTAATAACTTTAAGTATCATGAAATTATGTAAAATTAGTTTTAAAAGTTTGAATAGTAGTGTAGGCCAGAGATTTCTCGTTTCAAAATCGGTGGTAACACTGAAAATTTTAAAACATGAAAATCTCCGGACAAAATTATGAGACTAATTGAGACAAAAAAAAATTGAGAACAGTGTTCTTCCAAGATTTTGGGGGAGAAAAGGAAAAAGAAATTTCAGAATCTAGACAGTGAAAATAATCTGTCACAAGACTATGCAACCAATGTTAAATAATGTTTTGCTACTTTTTGCTTTGAAATTGTTCTTTTTGGTGAGCAAAGAAAAAGGCATCACCTTTCATCTGACTAATTTACCTGTACCAACCAAAAAGAGGAGTCTTCATGATTGAGTAAGAAAATTAAGTTTAGATGTCGAAAAACTATTCACAATTTTACTATAAAACAAAAAAATAAGTATGATTCAAATTTAAATTTTATATGGCAAGATACACCTTGAAAATGGATCTGAATTGCATAATATTTTTAATCAAATCAAAGAATGTCAAAGTATTTCTAATTTTCCTGTATCGCTTCATGATTTTTTTTTTTTTTTATCATACATGAATTTTTTTAAATAATAATTTTCAAGCAAGAGGGAAAACAGTTTTTCTTCCCACTTTCCTGGTCTTCTTTTTATTTTCTACTTTAATCCGAGTTCAAAAAATTTCCATCAAAACAAGACTAGAATTACAGATCCAACAGAAGTCAAAAAAAAAAAAAAAACACACAATAGTCGATTCCATATTTAATAAATAATAAATGATACACACATTAGTTCCAAAATAATAGTCCCCAGAGGTCTGAAGTTGTAATGGCAAAGTACAGCAATAGATAAAACCAAACAAGAACTTAACAAAGCTTTATTCGGCAGATAAACTCAAAAGCCTATTCTACAAACAGCACTGAATAGCCACAAAATGAATGTAATAGGGTGGTAATTACTTTTAAACTGAAGAATTTGAAGAACCCTGCAAGTGCTGTTCTAACTTTTTCGTTCTTTTGGGGTTAAGAAAACCATCTTCTCAGTCTGCTCTGGATTGACCAGCTCGAGAAGACAATATGATGCCAACAATCAGACCATACAGGGCCAAGGCTTCAGCAAAGATGAGAATGAGGATCATTCCAACAAAAAGTTTTGGCTGCTGTGCATTAGCTCTGCAAAACAAAACCATATATTCATAAAGGTCTACAACACATTGACAGAAATTAGGAGAGCTACCACAAAAAAAAAAAAAAACCCATTTGATATGTGCCGCCACCAAGATGGGGCAGCAAAAAATCCTTTTCTTTTTAATAAACATGACCTTTATTACAACTATTGACTTAATTAATGAGAATTTGATTGGTAAGCCACAAAACCCTCAATATAACCCTAATGGAAATTAAGAGCAGCATAGATCTAACCTAGTAAATCCAGCTCAAGCCTGCAAGTCCCATGCCTAAGTTCGAGAGAAGGGGTAAATGTCCTCCCCCATCCCTCTTTACTCCTATTTGCCCGGTAAAGTCTTTTCTCAATAGAAAATTGCTTTCCTCCAACAGGAAATCTCTTCATATGGTTACCAACTTACCATGCATCATCGCATAAAGTTCACGACATTTTACCCTAATATGAAAGTACACTGACCACAGTAAATTTATATATTTAAAATGAGCTTATTGTTATCATTTCACCACAGTAATAATTGATAGAACCAAGAAAGTAAGAACAGACGGGGCAACTCATTACTTGTCTTTTCATCATGCACACTTAAAGATATTTTTTCCATACTACAATTGTTTATATATGCAACTTATTGGCATGTTATTATTTCTAGAGAATTCCCTCTAAGGTCTTGTTAAACTGGAAGAGTTACCAGCAGTTGCACAGCCTTACATATTGTGCAGCAAGAGTCAATCAAATGTACTTCACAATTTGAGAGGCAGAAAAACTACAACATTGAAAGGCTAAAACATTGAGAGGCTTTCTCACTTGGCTAAATACTATTAAATCTTCTTGGGTCTTGGCTATGCCACCAGGGTTCCAGGCACGAAAACTATTCTAGGAAACCTGATGTTCTTCTAAGTTAAAGACAATAAGTGGGGTATTTTATCATGTCAAAAAATATCCCACAAAAAATTATATGTTTTCTGTATCCCCCGTTAAATAAAGAATATGAATCACTGCCAGGAAATCCACTTCATCAATTGAGTTCTGCAAGATGAGAGTTGAGGAAATATGGAAAGGATTATGAAAACACGGTTGGCATTAGTCCAACCTTATGTTACATGGACTATTCTAAGCTTGTAAAAACCTACAACAGACACTTGACACTTGGGCTAGGAGAAGGGCATGAGTTATTGGTCTAGCAATTCAAGTTCACTACACACTTGTACATATTTTGCTTTCATCTTACTTCCATGAAACAATTGGTTCAAAATAACAGAGGTGTCCATACTTTACACTTATATTAGTTGCCCATACTTAAGAAATAAATGAAGAATATTTAAAAATATGAACAATTAGCGGTGTCATAGTATCATTGGACTCCAGAATTAGACAATCTGACATTTACACATACCCATACCCATACCCATACTCATACCTGACACAAGTACCCAATGCATGTATAGTGCAATAAGGCCAATAAAATCGGTAATGGAAACAGCAGAATTAACACAGTGAACCCCCCCCCCCCCCCCCCCCAAAAAAAAAAAAATCCCCGGGTTCGACAATTAGTCATCCAAATTGGGAAACTCTTCCGATTCTTTCTACTATCAGTCCTTCAAAGCAAGGACATACATGACACTGGAACAGGGAGCATAAATCTGAGTGTTTTTTATCAGATGAATGAAGTGCAAAATGTTTGTTCTACAAGAAATAAGCATGATGCAAGAGGAGAAAAAATCAAGATACCAAGGTCAACACAGCAAATTAGTGTTCACAGGTAACTTAAGATAGAACATAGGCCACCCCAACCATAACTTCGAAACTAGAGGTGTGGGAACACATTCGTGTGGAATGTAAAATAATTATGGTAGTTATTTGAAGCAGTTAAGATCTGAGAATCATGTTAATTACTATGTATAGAGGTATTTTAGGTATACAAAAGTCGTGGCAAAGCTTCTTTTGAGTTGTATAATAGTACAGAGATGGAATATGGATAAAGCAAAGCAATCAAAAAATACAGCAACCAAAGCTACTGCCTAGAGAACACAGCAAACAAAGAACCTTGCTATGTGAAATAGTCAATGCTCAACTCGAAAAATCAACAAGTCAAGAACACCCAAAACATCACTGTCCAACCAGTTTTCTGCGAGTAATACTGGTACATGTTACCATTAATACTTCTTCAAATTTTGTTTACAATATCATCTTTCAAATCATCTTTTCACTTCCTTTCGTTCTCAAATCCATATTACTAACACTTGTGAACATAAAAAAATAAACATATTACTAATCATCGTTTGTTCATTTACACTATAATTTTCTTCCCCTCTTAGGATTAGACCCAAAGCACATATATCACAGTTTTTATAAAGTAGAACACAAAGAGCTCCCCACACCTGTGTTACATGGACTTGGGTGCGGGTATCGGGGTGTGGGTGCGTATCTAGGAATCGGACACTTCAAAATTAAAAATTGAGAATACTTGGATATGGATCCAAATTTGAACACGGGTACAGGAATTCGTTATTTTTTTAAATATATTTAATATATGAAGATGACTTAAAAAAAAATTAAGGAATAAAAAATTTTGTTTAAAAAAAAACAAATAAAATATAAATAATAAGGCCAAGTTTGACATATTGTAAAGAAGTCAAAAAGTCAAAAAATTACTCAAAAAGTTAAAAAGTTAACACTATTCACCAAAAGTCAACAATTACGGCTGCACAACTCCCGATCCTAATTTTTCCTTACAAATCAATTTTTACAATTTTTTATTACACATTTTTCTATAAAAAGTCAAAAAGTTAACCCAAACATCCATATTTTCTTCCTCAATTTTTTAGTCTAAAAAGACAAAAAGTACACTTATTTAGGACACCCCAAACAACCCCTAAATAAAAATTATTTTAAACATAAAATAAATTATATTATATATGATAAAATAAATTATTTTTATTTTAAACATAAAAATTATATCATTTATGATATATTATATTATATAATATTTTTTGAGTGAATATTATATAATATGAATACTATTATATAACCAAACCAAACCAAACCAAGCCTTAAGTCCCATCAAATGGGGTCGGCTACATAAATCCTTCTTCTCCACGCGGTCCTATCAAAGGCCATTTCATTAGTCAAATTAAGTAGATTCATATCTCTATTTATAACGCTAGTCAACGTTAATCTAGGCCTACCCCGTCCCCTAACATTTCCATTTATCGTTACAGTATCGCATCTCTTCACTACTGCCTCTGTTGGTCTCCGTTGAATATGACCAAACCATCTCAAACGATTCTCTCTCAACTTATCTTCTATCGGTGCTACTCCTACCCATTCCCGAATATACTCATTCCTAATCCTGTTCTGTCTAGTCTTACCACACATCCACCTTAGCATTCTCATCTCAGCCACACTCATCTTATCTACATGTTGTTTCTTGGTTGCCCAACACTCCGTCCCCTACAACATAGCTGGTCTAATAGCCATTCTATAGAACTTACCTTTTAGTCTAGTAGGTATTCGTTTATCGCACAATACCGCAGACGCACTTCTCCACTTACACCATCACGCCTTAATCCTATGGGCCACATCTGCATCAATCTCTCCCGCTGTTGTGATAATTGACCCTAAATAACGAAAATGTTCACTCTTAGGCAGTTCTTGGTTCTCAATCTTCACTTCTCCTCTGCTTTCATTGTTACTGTTACTAAATTCACACTCCATGTACTCTGTCTTAGTTCTGCTTATCCAAAATCCTTTAGATTCAAGAGCGTTTCTCCAAATCTCTAACTCTGTGTTAACTCCTTCTCTATTCTCATTCACTAGCACAATATCGTCTGCAAAAAGCATACACCATGGCAAATCATCCTGAATATTTATCGTCAACTCATCCATAACTAAAATAAAAAGATAAGGACTTAAAGTTGATCCTTGGTGTAACCCCACAGTAATTAAATATTTTATATATATATATATATATTTTTATTTATGTTCGTACAGTGATAGGAAAATTCATTTGTTTCTCCAGCTGGCGATCTAATAAGTGGTCACCCACCCCTTGCATACATATCCCTAATCACGTCAAATGTAGCCTTTTGTCACCCCTTTCTTCTCTAACGCCCACCATATTATTACTCGGGGCACTCTTGTCATATGCTTTCTCAAGGTCAGATAAACACCATTATGAACTGTCTCTTTTCTTTTCTTTTCTTTATACTGTTTCTATCAACTCTCCTCAAAAGATAGATCGCTTCCATTGTTGACCACAGGCAAAACCCAAATTTGATTCTCTGACACCTCTGTTAGTGTTTCGCAATCGGCGGTTCCCATCCCTCTCCCCACACTTTCATTATATGACACATGTAGCTGTAATTCCCTACTAGTGTTTTTTTTTTTTACAATTTCTGGACATCACCTTTTTTCTTATAGAATTGCACTAAAATACTCTTCACTCATTCTCTGGCATGATTCCTAGTTCAACAAAATTTTGCTAAACACCTATGTCAACCAAGCACTCCTTTTTTACCCAAAACACTTCCAAGCTTCATAGGTAATCATCAGGGGTCCTAAAGCCTTATTTGATTCATCTTCTTAAGTACACATTTCTACTTCAAAGTTCCGTAATTCCTGCGATAGAACCTATAGTCTTGGTTTATCGTAGTTAGCTGATTATTTCTTCCCCTATTGTCGTACTTCAGTTTCCTCATTTAAACAATTTCTCAAATAGATTCTTCCATCTTTCGCTTCAATTTCCATCATCCTTCCACCAGAATAACCCTTAGAATCCTCACTCTTGCATGCACTTTACTTGATTAAAATCTCTTGATTTCTTCCTCTCCCCGTATTTAGCAACGTTTTGTTACTCTCTTCTCTACACCTCCTTACTATCTAGTCTAGGTATAGGTTCATTCATAAACGTTTTCGAATTGTACTCTCTCGACTACTTTCTTGACCTCCTTATTAGCCAATCCTATAGCTCTTAAGGTTTTTTCAGTTCATC